AGATAAGGTAACACATTTACCTCGTCCTTTATAAATTAACCAGTATGTGTGTCAGTGGCCTAGTTTATGCATCTGTTAAATCATTTATATGAGGACAATTTAACATATAAATACCACATAGTTACAAGAGATTTCACCTTTGAACTAATGCAATATGCAATTGATTATATCTGTCTAGTGTTGACATGTGATATGTACGGGGATGCCTGTAATCAGATACGTCCCTCACAAACAGTCGTAAAATCGAATAGATCGTGGTATGTGTGAGATACAAGTCGCTCTCTGACTCAGTGAAAAATGACGCTCTGTAATAAATTTACGAAGACCCCAATGTGAATGCTGTGATGAAATTTCTTTCAAAGTTTTAGTGCGTACCAAAAAACATTGTCAACGATAGAGAGTGTAAGTAATATGTTGTATTTTAGTTTGTCTGGCAATTTTAAACAATTTAATTATGTCAAATATTTGTTATTTCGAGAATTATTTTCCGAGTGTGTAGGTTATTAATGATCAAGTGAACGTCGGCAATGACAGTTGGATAAATAGTCAGCAGAATTTGGTTTAGAGAAGTACAGGAACAATTTCTACAATTCGAAATTATTATTAGTGAGTAGAAGAATCAGCATGCGGTATGGAAAACAAAGAACATCATACCATGCATAAAACATGCTCATCGAGACATATCTAACTTCAGTTGTCAGCGTGCTTGTTCACTTAATCGTTATAAATTTTGAAATAAACACTTTTTGGAGTCATTAAATCAATCAGTCAGTCAATCGAATAGAATTACTGAAATTCAATACTGGATAACAAAAGAACGCAATCGGTACCAATGTATCAGTTTATTGGATTTTCTTATAGTCTTTACTCCCGTTGGTTTTGTCACTAGATATCGGCTAGCATTTTATTCCCACTAGGTTGATTGATTTGCGTTTTAATTAGTCCCTATATGTATCGTTAACCTACAAGATTTTAATCTCAGGGGTTATGTATGGATTAATGTCATCGTGTGTCTATACACCATTTGTTTTGTTCAATTAAAAATGATAGTTGGCAATCGTAAATCTAAAAAAATATTATTAATAATCAGACGTTACGGGCAATGACCATCTGAATATGATATATATGATATATATGAATACGATATTTATCGTTCGCAGCGATTATTACTCATTTCCATGTATTGTTCAACGGATCAACGCTGTATAACATGCAAAACAACCTGCTGTCAAATATTATGAAACTGATCAACAGCAAAGTGTCTACAACAGCTGCGCTCATTGATATCACTGGAATGTTGATGAGATATGTGATATCTAACAAGGTAGCATGGGAAATTTAATTAGCAGGGGAAGAGTGAATTGAGTAGATTGAAGTTGATATGTTCCGTACAGTTCCTATCTTTAATGAAAAACAAAAACGCAAAGTGGTTGTATTGTCATGATGGGACGAAAATCATTACATGTTAAACTGTAAAAATAAAGCAGAAATATACCATATAATAAAGCACTTAAGGTGGAGATGCAGTTTACTTGACAGATATTTTAATTAGTTTGTTAGGAAACTAAGATTATCTCCCTTGTCCACAAAACTATATATTTTAGGAAAGCTTATTGTATGAATTTTAAATTTGTTTTAGTATTATTTATGGACACTGTAGTTTGAAATATGCACAAAAATGTGCTTTTTTGGTCAAAAGTGATTTTAAAAAATTAGCTTCTAAACCATGCTTCTGTTTCCTGTCAAAGTTGGTTTATGGGTACATATGTTTACTATGAAGAAAGTGCCGTCTTTAAAACTGTCTACCAGTTGTCAATTTTGCTGGGCAGCAGCTCGAATTTCACTACTTCAAGTTTATGCATAAAT